AAGTTACTGGATTACATGTGCGTTTTTAATTGAATTTGCTTGATAACGATCTTGCTTTTTGCTGGTAAGATGATTATTTGAATAGGCATGCAGTTGGTTGAGTCCACCAATTCTATTTTGGATACCAGACGCCTACAGTTTGCTTTGAGAAAAATTATTTTATGCTGCCTCGAAATCTTGCTCATAAGAATTCTTTTTAACTAAGAGCTAGTTAAATGGTCAATTTCCGTATCTAAACAAGAAACCTGCCTCGTTCACGACTAAATCTAAACAACTTTGGCCAACTAAAGTAAAGTTGGGTCTATCCTATCGTGGAGTTGTTTTCTATAGCATTTCCCCATTACCAACATAGCATATTCTCATAAATACTGAAACACAAGTTCTACTGCCTACATTAATAGATGCGTTATTGGAGCATTCCCTGCACGCGCTCGTTAAAACTTGATATATCACATAGGCCTTATATCAAATTCCTTAGAAATCAATTTATTAACCGTATATGATGCTCGCAAGATAACTCAGCATCTTCCAATTCAATAGAATGGACAAAATGGTATGGTCTCTATTTGAGTCACAATCTTCGTTTTCCGCAAGTAATTGGTCTGTACCCATCTACTCAAATTAGTCGTGTTGTCATGGCAGCCTCAATATCATACATCGTTTGACGTCTTCTGCCAAAGCAATCATGGTAATTTCCAGTATTGAACCCTGGTCTTGGAATAGTCCCAGAAGTTTCGTCTGCACCATCAGTGAGAAGCACCAAGCTAAAACTTGCCAAAGAGATGAGTGTAACTTAAGCGGAATGTTAAGAAAAGTAGGTCTTCCAAACTATCACTTAATCTTGAATGAGATTTCAAGTCAGCCTAGGCCATGTAAACTGATAATTAAATTGTCTCACAACGATATTTTAGGGCTTCACTATTCCACTGGATTTAACTTAGCCCGGTCACCCAAACTTTAGGCTTACCCAGGATTAATCGAAAGTATAAGACCCACAAATGTTCGTGGGTCTGGCACACAAGAGACTAGGGCATGGGAAGTCATAGACTTGGTATTAGAGATAGAAACAGGATAGACGCGGCGGCAATGTGAGCTAGTGTGTTAACAGTAGGTTATACAAGAGACCTGGTCCATGAGACAAGGGCCCGACCATGAGACTAACTCAGAGGCTTTAGCCTCGAACTAGTTTGCCTTAGACGCAGAGGAGAGGTAATAACGCCTCGAGTAGAA